AATATTTTTTCGAAGAGTACATTTATGCCAAATTTCATCTTCGGTACGTTCCCTTGTTAGACGATAGATACTGCGAAATCGGACACTTCGCGTATAAATATAATTATTATTTCATGCTTCACGAGCAAAAATCACGCACGATCACGGCCCGATATTTCTGACGCGGAAGTTAGACATCGACAAACTATCTTTCACGCTCGCAGTCTGAGTGGGCGGAAATCAAACGAGATCAGGAAAGGAATTCATTCCGGGTCACCGTGCACCCTTCGCCGCGTTTCCACTTTCCCGAGGCAAACAGCTTCCCTTTCAGACACGCAACAGCCCTTTCGCGATGCTTGCGAAGCGTTCGGCGTCTCCGTACACCGGAAACGTACCGTGCGTTTGAATATTTCAGTCAACTGGCAAGAGGCGAAGCGTAGGAGACGAGATTTCCGCAAACAAAGGCCGTTACGAATTCCGCGTCCTTCCCAATAAGCCATCGAACACGCGCGCGAGCCCCCGAGCCCGTTAAATAATTCCGGCCCAGCGCTTATCTCGATTTAACGTGATACGTCACATGCGCGCGAACCGAACACGCGCTGTAATTTATTCAAACGCGTACGCGCCATCGTCATTTTGCCACCCACTTCGCCAACGTTTCCGCCCCGCGAGCTAAGCAATCGCACGAGGCTTTTCTTCTTTTCAATGTCCGCCTTGCAGCGGAAGAACTTTTCTGTCGACTCTGTATGTACGTGTGTGTGTGTGTGTATTCCTCTCTCGCTCGGGCGCGAAATTAGCGATCGTAATTAGTCGCGGCTGTGGAGCGTGGTTGGAAACCAAGCACCAGCTTTCTTCCGTTGTTTTCTGCGATTTAGCCGCGGGCCAGCGCAGCCAGATTGTTTTCCTCGCCTCTGTTCTCTTTCGCCATGTCCCCTCATTGTCCCCTTTCTTCCTCGTTTCCTCTTTCTTTCTTTCTTTCTTTCGTCGCCCCTTGTGCTCCAGTTTCTTCTATTTTTCTTTTTTCTCCATCTTTTTCTCTGGTTCTCTGGTTAATTTTGCTGTTTCACAGGAAACGAAAGATAGAGCTGCGGTGTTTGAAGTCCTTTCTCGTGTTTTAGAGAAGACATTTTGAGTAGATTTGAAGGGATGTGAGAACGTGAATTTTTGTAGCCTCGTATTTTTGTAGAAAAATGTCGATAACGTGTGACGGATACATTTCCGCTAATCAATACGTACGTTCTAAAAATTTATACCGCGTTAATTCAATATATCTCGAGTCCATGTACGCTCTCCAAAATTTAAATCGAATGGCTGCAAAATTTATGCCGTCGCCACATCCAACCGCGAAATTTAACCCGCGAAATGCTAAATTCATTCTCGCTAATCCATACATATTCTCCAAAATTCATGCAGCGATCCGATCTACCTGTATTTGCCAATCCTACTTGCAAAGTAGAATTAACCTCCTACGTATCAGACACATATCTACGCTTCGGAATTCGTAACGAATGAATTTAAATTTCAGGCTGTCACCGTGTCCGACCCGTTCAATTTCAAAGTATTAAACAACT